GAGCATTGGACTAATTGCAGCTTCGGGGCAGTCTTCAGAGGCAACCCCACGTAGGGAGCATTGCAGTAATCTATACGGGATGTAACCAGAGCATGGACCACTGTGGCCAAGTCAGACTTCCCAAGGTACGGGCGCAGCTGGCGCACAAGTTTTAACTGTGCAAAAGCTCTCCCGGCCACCACTGAGACCCGTCGTTCCACGCTCAACGATGAATCCAGGATCACTCCCAAGCTGTGAACCTGCACCTTCAGGGGGAGTCAGGAAGTTCTTCCTCATGTTCAGGTGGAATCTCCTTTCCTGTAGTTTGAAGCCATTGTTCTACTGCATTCTGGTCTCAAGGGCAGCAGAAAACAAGCTTGCTCCCTCCCCCCAAATACTTCCTCTCACATATTTATACATGGCCCTAACTATGTCTCCTCTCAGCCTTCTCTTCTAGGCTAAACATGCCCAGCTCTTAAGCCGCTCCTCATAGGGCTTGTTCTCCAGACCCTTGATCATTTAGTCGCCCTCCTCTGGACACATTCCAGCTGTCAACATCTCCCTTCAATTGTGGTGTCCAGAATTGGGACAGTTCCAGGTGTGGTCTGACCAAAGCAGAATAGAGGGGTAACTTACTTAGGCGATCCCTCGTTGTCCAAATAGGTGGATCCGTAGTAGCCCTATTCTTGACCTGCATCTTCTCCACAGTGAGGGCATTGGTTTCCAGGTGGAAGGCGGTCCCGGTCGGGGTTGGCTTGACGCCTTCCTCCTGGCACGTTTCTCTCTTTCACCCTCCACTCGTGCCTCCTCGAATTCTGCAGCACTGCTGGTCACAGCTGACCTCCAGCTGGAGCGCTCAAGGGCCAGGGCTTCCCAGTTCTCAGTGTCTATGCCAGAGATTTTAAGGTTGGTTTTGAGGCCATCTTTAAATCTCTTTTCCTGCCCACCAACATTCCGTTTTCCTTTCTTGAGTTCGGAGTAGAGCAGCTGCTTTGGGAGACGGTGGTCAGGCATCCGGACAACGTGGCTGAGTTGATGGCGGAGGAGCATCGCTTTGATGCTGGTGGTCTTTGCTTCTTCCAGCACGCTGACGTTTGTCCGCTTGTCTTCCCAAGAGATTTGCAGGATTTTCCGGAGGCAGCGCTGATGGAATCGTTCCAGGAGTTGCATGTGACGTCTGTAGACAGTCCACATTTCGCAGGCATATAGCAGGGTTGGGAGGACAATAGCTTTGTAGACAAGCACCTTGGTATCCCTACGGATGTCTCGGTCCTCAAACACTCTCTGCTTCATTCGGGAAAATGCTGCACTCGCAGAGCTCAGCATGGGGAGCATGACTTCCCTGGATCTAGGACAGTGGTTCTCAACCTGTGGGTCCCCAGGTGTTTTGGCCTACAACTCCCAGAAATCCCAGCCAGTTAGGGTTTCTGGGAGTTGAAGGCCAAAACATCTGGGGACCYACAGGTTGAGAACTACTGGTCTACATGTATTGTTTTTTGCTTATTGCTTTTTGTTTTATTGATGTGTTGTCCGGYTTGGCCTCATGTAAGCCGCTCCGAGTCCCTTGGGGAGATGGTGGCAGGGTATAAATAAAGTATTATTATTATTATTATTATTATTATTATTATTATTATTATTATCCCATAAACAGAAACTGGCAAGCTGGTGCCTTCCTGCCTGGCAGAATGGGTTGGGCCGGATGGCCTTTGGGGACTCTCCCAGCTCTAGGCTTCCATGACACCTTGGTGCTCCTGGGAGCAGGAAGGGCAGGGTCTACTTCCAAGCCTTCCTTCTCTGCCAGAAAAAAGGACACACAAATCCACACCCGCCCTGTTTTTTCCCGAATTGCAGCGGCAACAGATGGGGCGGCTGGCTGATCCCCGCTTTGTCCTTCAGAGCGACGACTTTTCAGCGCGCACCACCACGTCCAGGGAGAGAGATGTTGCCTCCTTGTTGTTATTTGCCAGCAGGGCTTCGAGGGTAAACAGCGCTGCCCAAAATAGCCAGGGTGATGGAGGTTTGAGCACAGGATAAAGGGATCATTATGGAAAAAACCCTGGAATTAAAATGCATGGTCCCACCCTTCCGGCCCAAGGGCTCCAGGTAATTAGTTCTGCAAGGCTAGCTGACCGGCTTAGCGTTTGCAGAGGAGAAAAAGGACAGGAGGATCCAGGAGGCCGGAGGAGGGAGTGGGAAGGGGGGGGGGCTGTGTCCGCCGCGCTTTCGGAGGGTTGTAGCGTTGCTTTAATTACCCTTAAGACAACTCAGCACTCCTATCTGAATAATCCATGTTCCTGGTTATTTATTCAGTTCCCTGCTGCTGTTGCGGAGCATTAGCCAGCCTCCGTCTGCAGGAATAGATCACGCCTTGCTGGGTGCCGCTTCTTCCAGCCCTCCAAACACAGCACTGAGCAAAGCCAAGGGGGGGGGGGGCGGTTCCTGGCCTGCTTTGGGTGCCTTTTGGGGGGCAGAGAATAGGTTATTGGGGGGAGCGAAGCCAAGACCCAGATGGAAGAGACCGGACATTCAGAAGAATGTAAGAGAAACAGAGGATCCTCTTGTAGGCCCTTGAAAGACTCCCATATTCCAGGAACTGGGAGCCATTGTGATCAATAAAAGATATATGGTGTTGTGAACTCAGCTGGAATCACAGAGTGATGGTGTCAATGATTCTGATGGGGATGATGAGATTCAGAGTCAGTTGCAAAGACGAGGAAGACCAGGACCAGGGGGCAGGAATTCCAGTGGTTTCCCACAGCAAGGGTTGACGATGGGGAAAGTGAAAATCCTGAGACTGGATGCCAGGTGCCTGATGAAGGAATCAAGGAGGAGAGTTCTCAGCCAGCTAACGAGGGATTTGACCTCGATGGGGCCGGTGAGTTAGATAGGGCTGGTCGCTTGGAACTGAAAGTGCGAAGGAGTGTCAGGATCGCCGGGAAGGCCATAGGAACATCTTCATGTTGGCCCAAGAGTATTAAACAGATTGGGTTGTTGTAGGTTTTTTCGGGCTATATGGCCATGTTCTAGTGGCATTCTCTCCTGACGTTTCACCTGCACCTATGGCAACCATCCTCAGAGGTAGTGTGGTCTGTTGGAACTAGGAAAATGGGTTTACATATCTGTGGAAAGACCAGGGTGGGACAAAGAACTCTTGTCTGCTGGAGCTAGGTGTGAATGTTTCAACTGACCACCTTGATTAGCATTTGATAGCCTGGCAGTGCCTGGAGCAAACTTTTGTTGAGAGGTGATTAGATGTCCTTGTTTGTTTCCTCTCTGTTGTTGTGCTGTTGTAATTTTAGAGTTTTTTTTTTAATATTGGTAGCCAGATTTTGTTCATTTTCATGGTTTCCTCCTTTCTGTTGAAATTGTCCACATGCTTGTGAGATTTCAATGGCTTCTCTGTGTAGTCTGACATGGTGGTTGTGAGAGTGGTCCAGCATTTCTGTGTTCTCAAATAATATGCTGTGTCCAGGTTGGTTCATCAGGTGCTCTGCTATGGCTGACTTCTCTGGTTGAAGTAGTCTGCAGTGCCTTTCATGTTCCTTGATTCGTGTTTGGGCAACGCTGCGTTTGGTGGTCCCTATGTAGACTTGTCCACAGCTGCATGGTATACGGTAGACTCCTGCAGAGGTGAGAGGATCCCTCTTGTCCTTTGCTGAACAAAGCATTTGTTGGATTTTCTTGGTGGGTCTGTAGATAGTTTGTATGTTGTGCTTCCTCCTCAGCTTCCCTCTGCGGTCAGTGGTTCCCTTGATGTATGGCAGGAACACTTTTCCTCTGGGTGGATCTCTGTCTTGACTTTCGTGGCTTCTTCTCGGTGGTCTTGCCGCTCTTCTGATGTCTGAGGTGGAATATCCATTGGGCTGGAGAGCCCAGTTGAGGTGGTTCAGTTCATCTTGGAGGAGGTGGGGTTCGCAGATTCTTTTTGCACGGTCTGCCAAGGCTTTAATTGTGGTTCTTTTTTGACTTGGGTGATGGTTGGAGTTTTTATGTAGATATCTATCTGTGTGTGTGGGTTTTCTGTAAACGGTGTGACCCAATTGTTGATCTGGTTTACGGATGACTAGGACATCTAGAAAAGGCCATCTTCCTTCATTTTCTTTTTCCATTGTGAATTGGATGTTTGGGTGGATTGCATTTATTATTTTGCTCTATTTATTATTGTTTATATTACATTTATTATTTTTCTCTATTTATTAGTATTATTATTACATATACTATTTCACTCTCTTCATTATTATGGGAAGGTTAGGTGAGCACATTTACATGGAAGAAGGTGAGAATCATGGTTTAATCGGAGTTGGACAGCCTTATCTTAAATTACAGTTTTATATAAATATCCAAAAGCATTTAACCTACTGAAGCCTCAATTAATGTAATTTTATTGGTATCTATTTTTATTTTGCATTTCCCACCCTCGGCTTATACTCGACTCAATACATTTTCCCAGTTTAATGTGGTAAAATTAGATGCCTTATATTCGGGTCGGCTTATACTCGAGTATATACGATATATGGTTTGAATGAAATTGTGTGAAAGGAGCATGGTTGGGGCCCATGGAGGTTGGAGATCCGATCCTAAGATTGAAGCCTGGAAAACTACAAAAGGAGAATTCATGAACTGTGATTAAAAGCTAACGAGAAATGCTGGCATTGATGGCCAGAGACAATGAATAACTCTTGGTGGAAAACAACATGTTTACATTACCAGAGACAATGTCTCTTTTAAGTTAAATGAGTGTTTACAATTATTTCTTACTTAAGAAGGGAAACCAACATCGGTTAAGAAGAAAAGCCAACATATTTCAGGAATAACATTGAACCACTGCACTTCAAGTGGAGTCAAAACTGCACTGATTCTGGAGTGTAAATACACTCTTATGGGAAATAATTCCACCATCTGAAAGCAGCCACTGAGAAGTCCCTGTGTCCCTTACCCTCAGCAAAATATACTGATTGTTGGGGATCTGGGGATCGACACGTGCAGTGAGGCTGACATGCACAGGTGCGCAGCCCTGTTACCTGAGCATGAGGTTCATCAGCTGGAGCCCCTCCCCTTTGAGGAAGCGCTCCCGGTTGGAGCTCAGCATCAACGAGGAGCACAGCGAGTCAAAGAGGTTCTCCATCATCTCCTGCTCCTCCGCGGTGCTGGGATTGTGGCGCTTGAACACCTGAAAGGAGGAGGAGGAAGAGGAATCAAGAACTGTGACTATCTGACGCGCCCAGGAAAATCAGAACTTCATGTCCTGAACTCCACGAGTTGGCTCAAAACAGGCTGAGCAGCCCTTATTCAGAAGTCTTAAAATACTCCAAAATGCAAAACTGACCACATGGGTGTCTGAGACAGTGATACCTTTGCTTCCAATATACACCATTTGTGTTATCAACAACATTATTTAACGTATCGTGCATAGAATGACCTTCAAGCTATGTGTAGAAATTATATGGGAATCATGAATGAATTTCCAAGATCCCAAGCTGGGGCTAACAGCAGGAGCTCACCTCCTGGTCAATCATAAACCAGACCGGGGTATAGGGTGGCAACCTGTGCTGGACGGGGTTACACTCCCCCTGAAGTCACTGGTCTGCAGTTTGGGAGTCCTCTTGGATTCATCACTTACGCTTGAGGCTCAGGCGTCGGTGGTATCCGGGAGGGCTTTCGCACAACTAAGACTTGTGCGCAAGCTGTGACCGTACCTCGCAAAGGTTGATCTGGTCGGGGTAGTCCATGCCTTGGTCACCTTTAGATTGGACTACTGTAATGCGCTCTACGTGGGGCTGCCCTTGAAAACGGCTCGGAAATTTCAACTGGTCCAGCGGGCTGCAGCCAGGCTGTTAACTGGTGCTCCTTACAGAGAGAGGTCAACCCTCCTGTTTAAGGAGCTCCATTGGCTGCCGTTTACCTTCCGATCCCAATTCAAGGTGCAGGTGCTTACCTACAAAGCCCTAAACGGTTTGGGACCTGCCTACCTGCGTGACCACATCTTCGTCTATGAACCCAAGTGCTCCCTTCGTTCATCCGGAGAGGCCCTGCTCGCGATCCCACCTGCGTCGAAGGCGCGTTTGGTGGGGATGAGGGACAGGGCCTTTTCTGTGGTTGCCCCCCAACTTTGGAACACCCTCCCCAAAGACATCAGACTAGCACCCACGTTGGCTGTCTTTAGGAAGAGCTTGAAGACCTGGCTATTCCGATGTGCCTTTCCGGAATAGGAAAACCCCAGCACTATGTCCCAGAAGCACTTTATTAGAGTTTAAGATTTTCTGCACATTGCACTTGCCCAGAAATCACACATGCCACCTGTCACACCCAGCACTTTTTAATCTGTACGCATCACTTGGCCCGGCCCTGGTTTTTACTGTGTTATGGTGTAATGTTGTTGTTATTGCTTTATGTTTTCGATTTGCTTTGAATTGTATTGTTGTTGTTATGCTGTTGTTGTTTTGAGGCCTTGGCCTGTGTAAGCCGCATCGAGTCCTTCGGGAGATGCTAGCGGGGTATAAATAAAGTTTAATAATAATAATAATAATAATAATAATAATAATAATTGAGCCATGGCCATTGAAGTGGTATCAAACTGTAAAAATTCTACGGTGTAGATGCAAACTAGGACTCCAGAAGACCAGGGTTTCGAATCCCTACTCAGCAATGGCAACGCATTGACCTTGAACAAGTCACACACTCTCAGCCTCAGAAGCCACACAGTAGTAGCAACAAAACAACAATATTTATTTATTTATTTGCTATATTTGTATACTGCCCTTCTCAACCTGCAGGTGACTCAAGGCGGTTTACAGAGGCAACAATTCATAGAATCATAGAATCAAAAGAGTTGGAAGAGACCTCCTGGGCCATCCAGTCCAACCCCATTCTGTCAAGAAGCAGGAATATTGCATTCAAATCACCCCTGACAGATGGCCATCCAGCCTCTGTTTAAAAGCTTCCAAAGAAGGAGCCTCCACCACACTCCGGGGCAGAGAGTTCCACTGCTGAACGGCTCTCACAGTCAGGAAGTTCTTCCTCATGTTCAGATGGAATCTCCTCTCTTGTAGTTTGAAGCCATTGTTCCATCGCCGTCCTAGTCTCCAGGGAAGCAGAAAACAAGCTTGCTCCCTCTTCCCTGTGGCTTCCTCTCACATATTTATACATGGCTATCATATCTCCTCTCAGCCTTCTCTTCTTCAGGCTAAACATGCCCAGCTCCTTAAGCCGCTCCTCATAGGGCTTGTTCTCCAGACCTTTTATCATTTTAGTCGCTCTCCTCTGGACACATTCCAGCTTGTCAATGCCCAACAACACAATAAATACACACATATATGTATTTGTACTTAATTCATATCCAAAGTGAGGCAGATTCTTCTCCACCTTGTGGTTGAGGAGTTCTGTGTCTCCTCCCCGCAGCCTTTGAGTCTCAACTTCCAACTCTTTCCCCTCTTGTTTTGCTCTCAGACCCAGAGAAACCCAGGCAGGCGCACGCTTCTATGGCTCCGGGGTTCTCCGGGACAGCCAAAATGGCAGGGGATTACTCACCGATAACTGCTGAAGCAGCACATCAATTCCATCCAGTTCCCCAAGCAATTCCCGGTTGTCTACAGGAAGGGAGAGAGGGGAGGAAAAATGAAACCGGCTGTCAGGTTTTACAGCCATCTAACACGGATATATCAGCAAACAAAATCAATACGGCTTGACAGAGCGCAAAGGAGGCTGAAAGGACGGGGAGAGGGATGGAGGGAGAAAAAGAGAGAGAGAAAGGGCACGCAAAAAGCAAAGAGGGCAGAAGCTGTCTCGAACTCGCCCCCTGACCGTCCACACAAAATATCCGGGGCAAGGCTTGAGGGTTGTGAGAAGGGCAGCTTACCGTCTTTATTCTGGAGAAGAATGGCCAGGACCTCGCTGCAGTAGAGCTTGTTGGCATCAAAGGGCATCTTGGCCTGTTGGAGAAGCCAAAGTGGAGATATAAGATACAGATATGGTGGAATATGTCCAGAGAAGGGTTGCCAAAAGGGACAAAGGTGTACAAATGATGAATCCTTCTGAGGAGCAACTGAGAGAGCTTGGAGAAGAGAAGGCTGAGAGAAGTGGACATGAGAGCCAGGTTTAAATATTGGAGGTCCCATTCAGGAGGGAGCAAACTTCTTTGTTGATGCTCCACATACTGGATGCAAACTATAGGGACGCAGATTCCACCCAACAGAGTTCAAACATGTGTTGCTGAAGGCTTCCATGGCTGGAATGGAAACCTGGTGGCACAATGGACTGAAGACTGACAGGTCACAGGTTTATCCAGCCATGAAAGTAGTCTGGAACATGCTACTGATACAAGGCCATACAGAACGAAAAACTCACAACAACCAGAATTAAAATAGAAGGCGTGCTGATTCAGTTTGCGGATGATCCCAAATCAGGAGGGAGAATGAATACCTCAGAGGGTAGGATGCAAAATGACCTTCATAAGCTCCTTAGATACACTGTCATAGAAAATATAGAAAATCCAACAAATGCTCCGTTCAGCAAAGGACAATAGGGATCCTCTCACTTCTACAGGAGTCTACCGTGTACCATGCAGCTGTGGACAAGTCTCCAGAGGGACCACCAAATGCAAACATGCCCAAACACAAATCAAGGAACATGAAAGGCACTGCAGACTCCTTCAACCAGAGAAATCAGCCATAGCAGAGCACCTGATGAACCAGCCTGGACACAGCATATTATCTGAGAACACAGAAATGCTGGACCACTCCCACAACCACCATATCAGGCTACACAGAGAAGCCATTGAAGTACGTACACAAGCATGTGGACAATTTTCAACAGAAAGGAGGAAACCATGAAAATGAACAAAATCTGGCTACCAGTATTAAAAAACTCTAAAAAAAGAACAGCGCAACAACAGAGAGGAAACAAACAAGGACATGTAATCACCTCTCAACAAAAGATTGCTCCAGGCACTGCCAGGCAATCAAATGCTAATCAAGGTGGTCAGTTGAAACATTCACCCCTAGCTCCAGCAGACAAGAGTCCTTTGTCTCACCCTGGTCATTCCACAGATATATAAACCCTTTTTCCTAGTTCCAACAGACCTCACTACCTCTGGTGCACGCAAAACATCAGGAGAAATGCTTCTAGAACATGGCCATATAGCCCGAAAAAACCTACAACAACCTATTGCAAGGACTATTTCCAAGGACTAGCACTCACCCTCTATATGGGTTTTGTATGGATGAGAGATGTATGATTCTCACTGCAGGGCCCTACAAGTATTCAAGCAGTTGCAGCTATTCCAGGCATGGGGAGTAGACTGTTAGGGATTGTGGGAATTGAAGTCTGGAGGGCCCAAGTTTGCCCATGCCTGAGTGAGCGAGACATGTCTTGTGTTTGCAAAGCCCAGGCGAGTGCTGCTCCTTTGCAGAGGAGGGAGATTGGCAGGCTTGTCCTGGGAGAGAGTCAGCACTTTTCTGAACGACGGAGAAAGGTATTTAAAGACCTGCGGGAAGCCGGGTCAGGGGTCTGGTGCTGAGGGGGAGGACATCTTGCATGCTTCCAGCCACCCTGAACTTGTCTTCATTTGTAAACTGTCTCCAGCCCTAGAGAAGGGCAAAAGGCCCGGAACAAACACCGAAGAGTCAGCCATGATTTCAGCAGCAGTGAAATGCAGACCCAATGAACGGCAGCTGCGACAAAAGACATCCTTGATGATGCATCCCTTTTCACAAATATGCTGCACTCAGCCAATTGGCCTTATCAAAACAGACAGTACAAACGTATGCAGTATACATGTATTTATTTATCGTGTCAGTGCAACCAGTCGATTATATTACATTTCTAACAGAACAAAGCAAAAAAAAAAAAAAAAGCAGACAAAATACAGAATTGTGAGTTTGGTAGTTAATTAAATGTCCTTTGACCAGTATCTGGCCACTTGGAGTGCTTCTGGTGTTGCCGCAAGAAGGTCCTCCATTGTGCATGTGGCAGGGCTCAGGTTGCATTGCAGTAGGTGGTCAGTGGTTTGCTCTTCTCCACACTCGCATGTCGAGGATTCCACTTTGTAGCCCCATTTCTGAAGGTTGGCTCTGCATCTTGTGGTGCCAGAGCGCAGTCTGTTCAGCGCCTTCCAAGTCGCCCAGTCCTCTGTGTGCCCAGGGGGGAGTCTCTCATTTGGTATCAGCCATTGGTTGAGGTTCTGGGTTTGAGCCTGCCACTTTTGGACTCTCGCTTGCTGAGGTGTTGCTATTACATGTGACCCTATGCTACACTTCCCTTAAGGTAAAGTAAAGGCTTTCCCCTGACATCAAGTCTAGTTGTGCCCGACTTTGGAAGTGGTGCTCATCTCCATTTCTAAGCCAAAGAGCTGGCGTTATCCGTAGACACCTCCGAGGTCATGTGGCCGGCATGACTGCATGAAACGCGGTTACTTTCCTGTCGGAGTGGTACGATCAACCTAGGGCCCTGTTGCACCTCAGAGTAGAATCACCTTGCTGAAGAACACCAAACTGCACTCAGCCAGTAGTCTTTATGGTTTATTCAAAATAAAAGGTAAAAAAGTTCTTAAAAGCAAAGGTTAATGTTCCAAAAGATCAATAAAACATAGCACTTGAAGCTTAATCCAAAAAGGCATCAGCAAAGCAAAACCCAAGAGAACATGACAAAGTCCTGGAACCATGAACAACAAAACTGCAAGATAATCCAGCCTAGTTTAGGCAAGCTCTATAGGTAAACGCGAAGTTGCTTTGACAAAGACCGTGTCTCAAACACACCGTTTAATACCCTTTGCAGAATATGAACGTGTTTCTCTGGCCTCCCTCTTGTTAGCTATTCTTTCACTCCTTCGAATTCAGAATTCCAACCTGTCAGCCCGATCTAACGTTCCCATATCATCAAGGTCAGTCTGTTCTTTAGCCTGTTTTCCTGCTTGCTCATTATCAGGCTGAGAACCAGGCCGAGAGCTTTCCTCCTTCTCTGAGTCAAACTGCACCTGGCTATTTTCAGTATCAACATTCTCATGCCTTACTGTGGGAAACTGCATTTCTTCACTGTCTATAACAGGGACATTTTGAACCAAACTGTGAACCTGAGTCCCATCATCATCATCAGAAACACTCTCTGATTCCAGCTGAGTCACAACAGGCCCTGAGATCATCCAGGGAGATCCTGCTCGTTGTCCCCCCATTATTGCAACCACGTTTGGTGGGGACAAGGGACAGTGTTGTGGTTCAACAACAACAGCATGATGGGGATGAGCATGAGAGTACAGCTGACGTTGGCTTTCAGTTTTCTCAGTCCCAGCCTGTATCTGTAGAGAGGCCGGAGTTCTCACAGGAAAGGAATGCAGATGATAAGACAGACGCTGAGAACCAGGGTCGAGGTGCCCAGGTGTTGAGACGGAGCCCACGGATTGCGGCCAAGTGTTGAGATCACCAGTTGGGTGGGAAAGCTGCTTGTTTTGATGTTTAGTGAATATATGCTCTGCTCTGGAGATTTCTAGTTGTCAGTTCCAACGTTGCTTTATGGCTAGCTCCAGCTCTGGGCCTTGGGGAAGGCTACTTCATGCTATTTCATGGACTTTACACTGAACCTGTGCTTCAAGTCTCCTGCTTTGGCAATATGGATTATATTGGATTATAACCTGTACTATTGATCTTTTCACTGCTTATGAACTGCCTTTTGTTTGGAAACCTCACAATAAACTATATACCTCACAACTGTGGCTGGTTTGTTGTAGAGAGCAAGGTGAATCTTATTCTGAGACACAACAGACAGGGCCTTTTCTGTGGTGGCCCCTCGGCTGTGGAACTCCCTCCCAAGCGAAATTAGAAACTTGAGAGCAGATCTTGAGGTCAGATCTTCATCCTGAGGAGCAGAGTTGAAGAGGCCACCTAGTCCTACTTCTTTCTACCAAGCTGGAACTTCCAGGATGAAACTTGAGAGCAGATCTTGAGATCAGATCTTTATCCTGAGGAGCAGAGTTGAAGAGGCCACCTAGTCCTACTTCTTTCTACCAAGCTGGAACTTCCAGGATGAAACTTGAGAGCAGATCTTGAGGTCAGATCTTTATCCTGAGGAGCAGAGTTGAAGAGGCCACCTAGTCCTACTTCCAAGCTGGAATAGACAAAGCCTTCCTGACAGATGGCTATCCAGCCTTTGCTTAAAACCTCCTGAGAAGGAGGCTCCACCAGACTCTGAAGAAGCATGTTTGGAAGCAAGCCCCATATGCCTTGGAGGGAGGGAGGAAGCATCTGAAAGGGATCCCTGAGCTGCCAGTTCCAGGAGAAGAGCATCTGTTAAGGCAGTTGAGTCGGCAAATGACAGCCCAAAAGACTAGTCAGTTCCATTGCGATCCTCCTCTATTTGGGGATCAAAGGGAAACGTGCCCACCCTCCCCATCTGTGTCTTATCAAACCCATGAGAATCCTGGAATGGAAGATGGGAAACGGTGCCCAAAGTGCCAGGAATGGCGCAGGTGCCGTCGGTGGCTTGAAACGGGGAAACGGCTCTGCCACTTGCGTCTTGCCCAAGTTTCTAAGTCTTTGAATTGGCAGGAGATATTACAGCGCCGAGAACACTTCTGCACTCCAGGGAAACCTGCCTAGAATGAAATTAGACAAATGGCTTTTCTTTTCTTTGCGCGGAAATCACGGCTACGGTGTTAGCCGCAATGAGACATCACAGGCTGTTTCTGCTAACTAGCACGTGAGGGTCACTGAGAAACATCTGCGGATTTTTGCAACTGATGGCATATTCTTTACAGGAACACATCAAGGAAAGCGGCATTCTGGTCCCGCTAAGCATCAAATCAAGGCCTTGCTCGTTAGTAGTTCAGCCAGCCGTTTGTCCAAAAGGAAAGGACAGAACATGGAATCTGAGTTGCAATGCACATCCATCCCTCTCCCAGATATTGTTGTCCACAGTCTGAGCTCCACTTGGAATCCAAGAATCCAAGAATTGGTACGGACTCCCAAAGGCCATACAGTCCAACTCTGTTCTGCGAGGCTGCAAGGCACAATCCAAGCACTCCCAACAGATGGCCATCCAGACTCTGCTTAAAAACATCCAGAGAAGAAGACTCCACCAGACTCCCATTCCGCTGTTGAACACATCTTGCCAGCAGGACGTCCTTCATAATATTCAAGTGGCATCTCTTTTCCTGCAATTTGACACATTGCTCCATTGCAGCCTAGTGTTCAGGGCAGCGGAAAACAAGCTTGGCCCCTTCTCAATGTGACCACCCTTCAAATGTTTAAACATGGCTCTCATCTCTCCTCTCAGCCTTTTCTTCTGCAAGCTAAACCTCCCCAGCTCCCTCACAAGGATTTGCGATTTCCAGACCTTTGACCATTTCGGTGGTCCTCCTCTGGAAACCTTCTACCTTGTCAATGTCTATGACTTCTTTGGTTTCTTCTTCTTCTTCTTCTTCTTCTTCTTCTTCTTCTTCTTCTTCTTCTTCTTCTTCTTCCTCTTCTTCTTGACACAAAAGCACACTATGTCACAGCAAACAAGCTCTATATGCTAGATTATTATTATTATTATTATTATTATTATTATTATTATTATTTGAAACACAACAAGGTGAGTCCACAGCAGACACTCTGCTGGCTGTTGAATTGGATCACACGTCTGACACTTCCCAACTGTCTAGGACTGTGAGATGTATTGGCAAATAATGCGTGCAGATCCCAGTAAGGTGGCCTTCTGCAGCTGGCAGATGGTAATTTTGTCAGCGCCAATTGTGTTTAAGTGCAGGCCAAGGTCTTGAGGCACTGCACCCAGTGTGCCAGTCACCACTGGGACCACCTTGACTGGCTTGTACCAGAGTCTTTGCAGTTCGATCTTCAAATCCTCATATTGTGTCAGCTTTTCCAGTTGTTTCTCTGTAATCTTGCCTTCACCTGAGATTGCAACATCGACAATCCTTACTTTGTTTTTTAACATGATCGTGAGGTCAGGAGTCTTGTGCTCCAAAACTCTCTCTGTCTGAATTCGGAAGTCCCAGAGTAGCTTGATGTGTTCATTCTCTGTAACTTTTTCAGGCTTGTGATCCCACCAGTTCTTTGTCACAGGCAGATAGTCTTTGTGGCACAAGTTCCAATGAATCATCTGAGTAAAAGTGTTGTGCCTCTGCTTGTAGTCTGTCTGCACGATCTTCTTGCAGCAGCTGAGGATGCCATCTATTGTTTCATCTGCTTCCTTGCAGAGTCTACACTTGGGATCTGTTATCTTCTTTTGAATTCTGGATTTGATGGCCTTGGTTCGAAGGGCTTGTTCTTGGGCTGCCAGAATCAGGCCCTCCTTTGCCTCTTTTTTCAAAGTTCCATTTGTGAGGCACAGCCATGTTTTTAATTTGTCAATTTGGCTCTCAATTTTTCCCAGGAATTGGCCTGTTTTCTTTTCTGCTCTGCATTGCATTTTTACAGTATTCACTTTTGGTCTTTTGCACTTTAAGCAGTTTAGTTTAGCTATTGACTTCCCTCAATGTTATTATTATTATTATTATTAATGATAATAATAATAATAATATTCTTTATTTATACCGTGAAGACTCAAGGATGTTAACAATCCTACAGTAGGAAACTCTGCTCCCATTGATGCAACTTAGAATCAAATTGGCATCTTCAGCTGATGCATGATACTGCTGATTCATGTTTGGCCACCCTCAAGGCACCATGTCAACAGATGAGATTCAATAAATGCTTTTAGCATCATTACTGCTGAAGAGAAAGGTCAGTGGGACCAAGTTGGTGGGTGGGTGGGTGGGTAGGTAGGTAGGTAGGTAGGTAGGTAGGTAAGGAATGCTGCAGTGACAGAAGGAGCTGTGTTACGTGTTATTTTTAGGAACCATCAGCTAGGTAGTTCCTAAAGATCTCGAGAGAGAGGGATGACAGAAGTTCCAAAAAACCGAACAAATCCAGAGTCCTTGACTCTGACTGATTTTGCAAGTCTGTGACTCTTCCCAAGGGATGTGTGTAAGTCATAGAATCATAGAGTTGGAAGAGACTACATGGGCCATCAAGTCCAACCCCCTGCCAGGCAGGAAAAGCACAATCAAATCACCCCTGGCAGATGGCCAGCCTCTGTTTAAAAGCCTACAAAGAAGGAGTCTGCTTCACTCTCTGAAGCAGAGAGTTCCACTACTGAACAGCACCTCTCACAGTCAGGAAGTTCTTCCTCATGTTCAGATGGAATCTTCTTTCTTGTAGTTTGAAGCCATTGTTCCATTGCGTCCTAGTCTCCAGGGCAGCAGAAAACAAGCTTGCTCCCTCCTCCCTGTGGCTTCCTCTCACATATTTATACATGGCTATCATCATGTCTCCTCTCAGCCTTCTCTTCTTCAGGCTAAACATGCCCAGCTCCTTAAGCCGCTCCTCATAGGGCTTGTTCTCCAGACCCTTGATCATTTTGGTTGCCCCCTTACTCTGGACACATTCCAGCTTAGAGTCAGGATCACCCTTCAATTGTGGAGCCCAGAATTGGACACAATGTGATTCCATGTGTATCTGAACAAGGCAGAACAGAGCATGGGGAGCAGGACTTCCCTGGAATCAGGTGGAATCTCCTTTCCTGTCATTTGAACCCATATCTCCAAGTCCTAGTTTCTAGGGCAACCGAAAACCAGCCTGCACCCTGTTCCTTATGACACCCTTTCTCATATTTCAACATGTCTCCCATATCTCCTCTCAACCTTCTGTTCTGCAGGATAAACATGCCCAACTCTTTAAGCTGCTCCTCATAGGGATTATTCCTGGTCTCAAGACCTTTGATCATTTTAGTCACTCTCTTCCTTTGGACCCCTTCCAGCTTAGAGTCAGTATCTCTTTTGAACTATGGGGCCCAGAATTAGACACATTATTCAAGGTAAAGAGGTCTGACCAAAGCAGGATAGAGAAGCATCAAGACTTCCCTAAATCCGGACACTAGACTCCTGTTAGGAATTGTGAGAGTCGGAGTCCAAAGCACCTGGAGGAGGGCCCAAGTTTGCCCATGCCTGCTGAAAATGGAAAGAAGCCTGAGCTCACCTTTAGCCTTTTGAGGAGCCACTGCATGAGGCCCTGCTGAGCGGCATCCGAACACATCTCTGGCCGGAACTCCGCCATGTTTTCAATGATCGCTGGAGTGGAAAGGGGGGGGGGGGGAGAAGAAGAGAGATTGTCAGTTCCAGATTTCCAGCTGACACAAAGAGGATCCCTTCCTGTCATCTCCGCATTCTCAGCATGCGCCAGCTTCTCTTTTTTGAATTGCCAGGCATTAATTAGGGCAGCGTGGCTTCAAAATAAAAGGAGAGGGAGTGGGTCCCCCTCCTCCTTCCTCTTTGAAGTATCGTTCAGATGCGGCACCTGGGAATGGCTTTGGTGTCATTCTCAACAAGGTGATTCGGAAAGCCCACTTCCAAGCTTAGAGAAGGTGTTACCTTAAAAACCCACACACCTGGACAGGTACTTGTACCTTTCAAAAGGGGAACCAATAATAACCAATAATGGTGGTTGTTGGATCACTCCAACAACCACCATGTCAGACTACACAGAGAAGCCATTGAAATCTACAAGCATGTGGACAATTTCAAAAGAAAGGAGGAGACCATGAAAATGAACAAAATCTGGCTACCAGTATTAAAAAACTCTAAAAATACAACAGCACAACAACAGAGAGGAAACAAACAAGGACACCTAATCACCTCTCAACAAAAAATTGCTCCAGGCACTGCCAGGCAGTCAAATGCTAATCAAGGTGGTCAGTTGAAACATTCACACCTAGCTCCAGCAGGCAAGAGTCCTTTGTCTCATCCTGGTCATTCCACAGATATATAAACCCATTTTCCTAGTTCCAACAGACCTCACTACCTCTGAGGATGCTTGCCATAGATGCAGGCGAAACGTCAGGAGAGAATGCCTCTAGAACATGGCCGTATAGCCCGAAAAAACTTACAGAAACCAATAATAATAATAATAATAATAATAATAATAATAATAATAATAATCTTTATTTATACCCTGCCACCATCTCCTCAATGGGGACTCGGGGCAGCTTACATGAGGCCAAGCCCAGACAACATATTACAGCAAAATAAAACCAAAAACATAAGCAACAAGCAACAACATCATAATTACATAAAAACATATGAATGCATTAATAATATAACATAACTCAAAAACTACTGGACGAATTGCCGCCAAATTTGGCCACATGACACCTACTAACCCAAGGAGTGACCATCACTCAAAAAATTGATTTGTCATTTGGGAGTTGTAGTTGCTGGGATTTATAGTTCACCTACAATCAAAGAGCATTCTGAACTCCACCAATGATGGAATTGAACCAAACTTGGCACACAGAACTCCCATGACCAACAGAAAATACTGGAAGGGTTTGGTGAGCATGGACCTTGAGTTTGGGAGTTGTAGTTCACCTACATCCAGAGAGCACTGTGGACGATCTGGACTAAACTTGGCATGAATATTCCATATGCCCAAATATGAACACAGATGGAGTTTGGGGGAAATAGACCTTGACATACTGGGATTTATAGTTCACCTACAATCAAAGAGCATGCTGAACCCCAACAATGACAGAATTGGGGAAAATTTCCCACACAGAACCCTCATGACCAACAGAAAATAATTAAGGCCATCCAATCCAACTCCCCCCCCTTTTCCACTTGTTAGTGCCTGGGGGAATCTTTTGATGAAAGGTGATTAGATGTCCCTACTTCAGCCAGAGAAGTCATCCATAGCAGAGCAACTTGGACACAGGATATAATTTGAGAACACAAAAATGGTGGACCACTCTCACAACCACCATGTTAGACTATACATAGAAGCCATTGAAATCTATAAGCATGTGGACAATTTCAACAGAAAGGAAGAAACCATGAAAATGAACAAAATCTGGCTACCAGCATTAAAAAACTCTAAAATTACAACAGCAAAACAACAGAGGAAACAATCAGGGACATCTAATCACCTCTCATCAAAAGATTGCTCTAGGCACTGTCAGGCCATCAAATGCTAATCAAGGTGTCAGTTGAAACATTCACACCTAGCTCCAGCAGACAAGAGTCCTTTGTCCCACCCTGGTCATTCCACAGATATATAAACCCTTTTTCTTAGTTCCAACAGACCTCACTACCTCTGAGGATGCTTGCCATAGATGCAGGCGAAACATCAGGAGAGAATGCCTCTTGAACATGGCCATATAGCCCGAAAAAACCTACAACAACATAGTACATTTTAGCTTTGTTAGCCTTACCTATATATTTTCCTCTCCTGTATCCTCCTATAAGCTCACATATAGAGCCCTGGCTCTGCTGTGCTCTACTCTGCGATAGAGACCAAGTATTCCTAAGCAAAGAAATATGGACCTTTCCCAAAAAGCACCAAGTAACAAGAGAGCTGCCGGCCATGGCGTTGTCTGGGAGCCGGAGTAATGGGTTGTCTTTCAAGGAAATGGGGCTTCTTTGCAAATTGCCACCCGCTTCCAACATCAGCCTTCGAGGGAAACATCAGTCTGAAGGAAAACAGGCGGCTGCAGGTATCTATTATTTGTAATAGAAGGCTGGAAATGGGTTTGCTCTGCTCCGAACACGACTTGGGCATCAAAGATGTCAGCAGAGAACTCTCCAAGAAAGCAATGCTGGCCCTTCTTCCTCGGAGTTTACATCTTCAGCTTTAAAGCATGTTTTTTAACCACCTTGGAGACATCTATCATTTCTAGGGAGCATTTCGGCCACTAAAATGAACATTTATTCCAAACTATTCCCATTCTAGTTAATGACGCCTCTTTCAAGCAAAGGAACGAGCACTTGTCAGAATTCATACGAAGGGCAAAGAAACCTGGAATTAGGTTTAAACTTCTTCAGGGTGGTTGTAAAGATTGTCTGGTTTTGAGAAATTAGAGGTTAATACAACTCAAAGGGCTGTGCTTCCGTTGACAGGCCTTCATTGGGTGTGAAAGGACCAAAGTACCGTCTAGCTTTAGCCGTCATTTCATTAGACGAGTGATGATTTGCCCTGGACTACAATATTGGATTATGTGATTTTATGTGATTTTACGGAGCCTCCGGTGGCTCAATGGGTTAAACATTTGTGCCAGAAGGACTGAAGAGTGACAGGTCAGAGGTTTGAATCCGAGGAGAGCATGGATGAGCTCCCTCTGTCAGCTCCAGTTCCCCATGCAAGGACATGAGAGAAGCCTCTCACAAGTATGGTAAACACCAAAACATCTGGGCGTCTGCTGGGCAACGTCCTTACAGATGGCCAATTCTCTCACACCAGAAGCAACTTGCAGTTTCTCAAGTCACTCCTGACATGAAAACAATGTTTTTACATTTTTAATTTTGAAGGCTTTAGCTGGCTAAATGGACGAACCCAGAGGGTGCTCATTAATGCTTCCTCTTCATCCTGGAAAGAAGTGCCGAGCGGAGTGCCATCAGGAGGGTTCCGTCCTGGCCCGGTGCTGATCAGGATCTTGATTAATGACTTAGATGAAGGGCTAGAAGGCAGGATCATCAAGTTTGCAGACGACACCAAATTGGGAGGGAGAGCCAAGACTCCAGAGGACAGGAGCAGGATTCAAAACGATCTTGACAGATTAGAGAGATGATGGGCCAAAACTCACAAAATGAAGTTCAACAGTGACAAATGCAAGAGACTCCACTTTGGCAGGAAAAACGAAATGCAAAGAGACAGAATGGGGGACGATGAGGCCTGGCTCGAGAGCAGGACGTGTGAAAAAGATCTTGGAGTCCTCGTGGACAACAAGTTAAACATGAGCCAACAATGTAATGCGGCGGCAAAAAAAGCCAATGGGATGTTGCCCTGCATCAAGAGGAGCATAGTGTCTAGGTCTAGGCAAGTCATGCTCCCCATGCTCTATTCCGCTTTAGTTAGCCCACACCTGGAATATTGTGTCCAATTCTGGGCACCTCAATTGAAGAGAGATATTGACAAGCTGGAATGTGTCCAGAGGAGGGTGACGAAAATGATCAAGGGTCTGGAGAACAAGCCCTATGAGGAGCGGCTTAAAGAGCTGGGCATGTTTAGCCTGAAGAAGAGAAGGCGGAGAGGAGACATGATGAGGGCCATGTATAAATATGTGAGAGGAAGCCACAGGGAGGAGGAGGGAGCAAGCTTCCTTTCTGCTTCCCTGGAGACTAGGACATGGAACAATGGCTTCGAACTACAAGAGAGGAGATTCCATCTGAACATGAGGAAGAACTTCCTGACTGTGAGAGCCATTCAGCAGTGGAACTCTCTGCCCCGGAGTGTGGTGGAGGCTCCTTCTTTGGAAGCTTTTAAACAGAGGCTGGATGGCCATCTGTCAGGGGTGCTTTGAATGCAATATTCCTGCTTCTTGGCAGAGGGGTTGGACTGGATGGCCCATGCGCTCTCTTCCAACTCTTTGATTCTATGATTCTACCTTCTAGCTTTAATGATTTCGTTAGACGAGTGATGATTTGCAGACTTGGCGCTGAAGATTTACAAGGATTTCTCCACTCACTCGGAGACTTCTTGAGAACTTTACCTCCTTATTGATTTTTAGAAAGCAACTGAAGACTTGGCTCTGGAAACAGGCTTTTTGGAGACGATCAGTCTTAAATGGATTATGTGATTTTATGTGATTTTACGGAGCCCCTAGTGGCGCAATGGATGGCGCAGAAGGACTGAAGAGCAACAGGTCAGAGGTTTGAATCTGAGGAGAGCATGGATGAGCTCCCTCTGTCAGAGCTCCCTCTGTCAGCTTCAGCTCCCCATGCAGGGACATGAGAGAAGCCTCTCACAAGTATGGTAAACACCAAAACATCTGGGTGCCTGCTGGGCAACGTCCTTGCAGATGACCAATTCTCTCTCACCAGAAGCAACTTGCAGTTTCTCAAGTCACTCCTGACATGAAAGAAAAATATGATTCTAAATATGATTTTGGAAACACCAGTATAATATTAAGGCCTGCAATGACTAACTACCTCCTTGCTGAAACTGTGATCAAAACCTGCTAATGAGAATTGATAAGAACTGTGACAATGGTTCTTTCAAGTTAAGGAAATGTTTGCAACATTCCTTATGTTAAGAAGGAAGTCAACATAAGATCAACACCAATCAAGAAGATCAACATCTGGCCAGGAAACTGAGATGGAGCCAGGATGGAAGACATCTATCATTCATTTACAACTTTGGGATGACATTCAGCAGAATACTCTTATAAAAGACTCAGTCTAATAATGCTCAAAGTGTGGCAGACCTGAGGAGTCTGTTCCACCCACTATGCTCAGCTCCATGGGAAGGAGAGAGATGGTGTATTCAGAGAGTGTCAGATATGCTATAGGAAAGCATGATTCTGGTCACTTTGGGGCTTCTTTCTCAAGGGAAGAGGAAGAAGTGCACTTTTGGAGTCTTGGATTTTGTGCAGGGAGTCAGGTTCTGCTGTAGGGAAAACAGAGATCTGGTCCTTGGCATTGTGCTTAGGGAAAGAAGTTTTGGCATTTCGGCGTTTTGAAGTTTTGGCATTATGGAGCTATGTGTTTGTCAGGCTGTAGGAAATCAGGGTCTGGCCTAAGAGGTGCTTCTCCAAGGAGGGAGAAAGGGATATGGTAGTATTTGGATGCCTGAGGATGAATGCGTGTACTTGTGTGTGAATGTTGAGTGAAAATGTAATTCCCCTTTGTTTGTTTGTTTACCAATGTAATTGTAAATCCAATGTAGTTGCATAGAATCTGTATTTTTTGTAATCTGATATACCTCTCACACTGGAAATTGCAATAAAAAGAACCTATGCTTTAAAGTTATTGAAAAGTCATTCATGACATAATTGGTGTCAGAAGTGGGATATTCTTTTCCAATGTGGGAAAGTTATTCATAGCACAACTGCCAGCACCTGACCTTATCTGTAGAGTTAACTCATGGAGTAAGGTTTTCATCCAAAATATCCAGAGGCTTTAATCTTCCCCGTTGCAATATATATTAATATACAAACAGGATATGCAGATCTACTTTCAGCTTGCCATTGCAAACAATAATCATATACAGAACAGGCAGATACTCAAACCAAGTCACACAGGAGAGAGAAAGATGGATTCTTTCATCCTCCTTATATAGCCACCTGCTGATAGGTCATCGTAATGGACATTGGCGGATGCAACCCCTTTGCAATTGGAGTTAGCCATCACCACACCCCCTTAGGAATTGCATAATGATGTTTATAGTCATACCCAGGTGTTCTCAATCAACCACATGTTCATCAAACAGTATTTTCTTTCATGGTTACAAATGCTGCACCATTTCTATCTAACATCTAGGACCCCCCAAAAGTGAGCCACCCAGGCTAAGACATGCCAAGCTTTCCCCATCAAATCTGGCATGCTGCCCCCCTCACAGTCCATTCACCCCGGCCCCACTTACCCAAAGTGTTGTGGACACCATCGGCCTCTTCCTTGACGTTTTCATCCAAGCGCTCCAGGTTCTGCACCAGCAACGCCACCACCTGACCGTCCACCTGGGATGCCAAGAAAGGGGGAGATGTTTGCTTTGGCCAGACCCCACATGGAACAAATCTGTGTCCAGTTCTGGGCAAACTGAGTCGAGCAGGGATGTGTCCAGAGAAAGGCCACCAAAATGGTCAAAGTTTTTGAAACCATGCCCTGTGACGAATGACTGAGGCTAAGGGAGATGGATAGATTTAGTTTGAAGAAAAGAAGGTTGAGAGAAGAGGACGTGAGAGCAATGTTTCAATATTTGAAAGTATGACTCATTGAGGAGAAGGTGACAAGCTTGTTTTCTGCTCCTCTTGAGACTAGGCTGTGCTGTTGCACGCTGGGCCTATGACAATGTCTGTTTACAGGACGTGCTTTCTGTATGACCAATGGGACCCTGGGGGTGCCTCAGCTAAAGGGTCTCATAGGTTTCCCAACACAAAGTTCTGTAGAGGCTCAAAATAAGTCCAAAAAATATTTATTTTATTTATTTATTTGCAGCATTTATATTCCGCCCTTCTCACCCCGCAGGGGACTCAGGGCGGATTACAGTGTACACATATATGGCAAACATTCAATGCCAATTTTGACATACAACATATACAGACATAGACAGAGGCTATTAACTTTTTCTGGCTGCCAGGGGAGCTGTCGCTTTCATCGTCCATCTGCGACACTGATGAAGTACTTCCGCATTCCCCGCATGCTTTTGCTGGAGTGCTTTGCTGGAGTCTTTTTTATGGCCTCATAAATTAGTTAATTTAGCCTCCCCACACTTTAAGGTGGTACCTAATTTTCCTACTTGACAGATGCAACTGTCTTTCGGGTTGCAAAGGTCAACAACAGGCTACACAATTGGTTGGAAACCCACTCCAACTCGGGCTGGCTTCGAATTCATGACCTTTTGATCAGAATGATCTTAATGCAGCTGACACTCAGCCAGCTGCACCACAATTAAGGCTTAAATCTTCAAACAAGTGAATTTAATGCTTTATAATCTTGAAAAACTAGTAGCTTTCTCGATCTGCCAACAAGGGACAGACAACTGCTTGATAAACTGTTCCTTTCTTCTATAGGGAAACCTTCCGACCCCTCCTTGGGCAATCTTTCTTTACCCTGCTAGCGTGAGGCCCCAACTCCTGGCTCCAAGCTGCTTTATGGATAGCCTGAGTGACCCTTACCAGACAAGGTCTCTGTAGATCTGCCAAGCTGGTGTCCTGTAGATTTGCCCCACGAAGGCCGTGGAACCATTCCTTTATTTTCCAGCAAAGCTGGCTGTATTTCCCCAGCAAAGCTGTGGAACTGTAACTTTACTCCCCAGCAAAGCTGTGGAGGTTTTCCTTTTTCCTAGCAAAGCTGGCTGTAAATCTATTTCTTTCACCCCAGCAAAGCTGTAGCTTTACTCCCCAGCAAAGCTGTAAGAAGTGAAGCTTTTTGCAAGTGGGACAGAGAAAGCCCACACATCCTACTGTAAGGCTCCAAACTGTGAGACTGAACTAAAAGTCCCCTTTCCCCTCTAAACCTGGGGAAAGGGGCAGATCTAAAGGCTCTAACTATGATTGATAGGTTGTTGGCCCTATGACTGCAATCCAGGGGAAAGCTACCCAATTGCAAAGTGCATGGCCCAAACAAACTCAAACAAACAAGCAGTGCAAAAAAAGGGAATTCAAACTCCTGGCACTGCTGTGCCAGCACACTAGGACACAATGGAGCAAGGGGTTCAAGCTGCAGAAAAAGATTCCACCTGAATGTTAGGAAGAACTTCCTGATAGTAAGAAGAGCTGATTGACAGGGGATTGTGCTGCCTGGGAATCTGGTGGAGGGTTGTTATAGGTTTTTCAGACTATATGGACATGTTCCAGAAGCATTCTCTCCTGATGTTTCACCTGCATCTATGGCAAGCATCCTCAGAATTTGTGAGGTCTGTCAAAAACTAGGAAACATTGGGTTTATATATCTGTGGAATGATGTCCAGGGTGGGAGAAAGAACTCTTGCCTGTTGGAGCTAGGTGTGAATGTTTCAATTGGCCACTTGATTAGCATTTGATGGCCTGGCAGTTTTTTAGGTGTGGCTTCTTACTGCCTGGGAAATTCCTTTGTTGAGAGGTGATTAGCTGTCCCTGATTGTTTCTTGTCTGGAGTTCCCCTGTGTTTGAGTGTTGTTCTTTATTTCCTGTTTTACTTTTAGAGTCGCCTCCACCAACCCACCTCTTTTGGGAGGGCTTTGACTGCGTGTTCCTGCTTGGTAGAAAGAAAGGGGTCGGACTGGATGGCCCTTGGGGTCTCCTTCAACTTTATAATGCTAAGTTGGCGCATAGCCAGATATCAAACGCTGTCAAGGGTAGAAAAGAAAACAAGAATCACTCTGGCAAGGAATGTTTTGATCAAGGAACAATCTTCTTGTCAAAGCTTTTCCCCCAGAAAACTCCACCGCTATGTTTTTTTCCCCTTTTAATTAATTGGGCAATTTTTTTCCGAGTCAGATGCGACAGGGGGAGAAAAACAAGAAGAAAACATCTGAGGAATATGAACCTTGTCACAAGTCTGCTATTCCCCAATCAAGTCTTGAGTGACTTCTAATCTCCCCGCTTCCCAAAATGTCAGGCAGAAGCTCCCATTGGCGTCAACCGCATATAAGTTTTGACAGGTCCTCCTTCGCGAGGCTCAACACTTGCTGGGTTGCTGAGAGTTTTGCGGGCTGTCTGGCCATGTTACAGTAGCACTATCTCCTAACTTTTTGCATACATCTGTAGCTAAGGGCATCTTCAGAGGTTCTGTTGGAGGTGAGGCAAGTGGAGTCTGTATATACCTGAAGAATAATGTCCAGGGTGGACATTATCCTCATTGCTATGGAACTTCATCTTTTTGATGGGAAGCTTCCCACACGAGTGGAAATCATCTATCAAACAGATGGCAATCTATTTAACCTCAGCAGACTGAAAGCCAAAACCAAGGTTGCAATAACATCTGTTATAGAACTTCAATATGCTGATGACAACATCGTCTCTGCGCATTCAGAAGGAAAACCTACAAACTACTCTAAACACCTTTGCAGAAGCATACAAGAAGCTCAGACTCTCATTGAACATTGATAAAACCAATGCCTCTCCAATGCCAGAAATACAGCTTAATAGTGTAACATTAGAAAATGTTGACCATTTCTGCTCCTTTGGCAGCCACTTTCCACAAAAGTCAACATTGACACTGAATTTCAACACCGCCTGAGCTCTGCGAGCGCAGCATTCTTCCGAATGAAGCAGAGTGTTTGAGGATTGGGACATCCATAGGGATACCAAGGTGCTTGTTTATAAAGCTATTGTCCTCCCAACCCTGCTCTACGCCTGTGAAACGTGGACTGTCTACAAATGTCACATGCAACTCCTGGAACGATTCCAGTGCTTCCTATGAAAAATCCTGCAAAACTCTTGGGAAGACAGGCGGCGAAATATCTGAGTGGTGGAAGAAGCAAAGACCACCAGCACTGAAGCGATGGTCCTCCGCCATCAACTCCGCTGGACCAGCCACATTGTCCAAATGCACGATCATCGCCTCCCAAAGTACTTATTATACTCCCAACTCAAGAACGGGAAACGTAATGTTGCTGGACAGGAAACAAGATTTAAAGATGGTCTCAAAGCCAACATTAAAGTCTCTGGCATAGACACCGAGAACGTGGAAGCCCTGGCCCTCAAGCACTCCAGCTGGAGGTCAGCTGTGACCAGCAGTGCTGCAGAATTTGAAGAGGCACGAATGGAGGGTGAAAGGGAGAAACGTGCCAAGAGGAAGGCACGTCAAGTGAACCCTGATCGGGACCATCTTCCATCTGGAGAACATGCGGGTCAAGAATAGGGATCCACAGCCACTTATGGACACACACACCACCAAGATTTGGGGGACCATCATCCTTGGCCTATGAGGGATCACCTAAGTAAATAATGTCCAGGGTGGGGAAAAGAACCCTTGTCTGTTTAAAGCAAGCGTGGATGTTGCAATTAGCAAGCTTGATTAGCATTGAGAAGCCTTGAAGCTGCAAAGTCAATCAGTGAGGGGATCTACATAGACGTAGCCTGGCCAGGGTTGAGGGGGTCATTTCCTCCTCAAATCCGTCCTAGGTTTGCACTTGCAAAGCCAAGTATCTCCACTGCAGTCTGCAGTAAGTCTCAAAAATATCTTAGGAAGTGATGTTACAGAGGAAAACAGATATGCTTATGGGGGTGGGATGGAGGCCTTTCTGCATGATTTGGGGGCAAAACTGCCCAAACATCATTTTTTAAAAATTAATTGGATGAAAATGCTTCCTCTTCATCCTGGAATGAAGTGACGAGTGGAGTGCCATCGCAGGGTTCCGTCCTGGGCCCGGTCCTGTTCAACATCTTTATTAATGACTTAGATGAAGGGCTCGAAGGCAGGATCATCAAGTTTGCAGACGACACCAAATTGGGAGGGATAGCCAATACTCCAGAGGACAGGAGCAGGATTCAAAACGATCTTGACAGATTAGAGATGATGGGCCAAAACTAACAAAATGAAGTTCAACAGTGACAAATGCAAGATACTCCACTTTGGCAGGAAAAACGAAATGCAAAGATACAGAATGGGGGACAATGCCTGGCTTGAGAGCAGTACGTGTGAAAAAGATCTTGGAGTCCTCGTGGACAACAAGTTAAGCATGAGCCAACAATGTGATGTGGCGGCAAAAAAAGCCAATGGGATTTTGGCCTGCATCAATAGGAGCATAGTGTCTAGATCTAGGGAAGTCATGCTCCCCATGCTCTATTCCGCTTTGGTTAGACCACACCTGGAATATTGTGTCCAATTCTGGGCACCACAATTCAAGAGAGATATTGACAAGCTGGAATGTGTCCAGAGGAGGGCGACTAAAATGATCAAGGGTCTGGAGAACAAGCCCTATGAGGAGCGGCTTAAAGGAGCTGGGCATGTTTAGCCTGAAGAAGAGAAGGCTGAGAGGAGATATGATAGCCATGTATAAATATGTGAGAGGAAGCCACAGGGAGGAGGGAGC